AACTTCATAAACAATCTTTCTTATGTTTTCATATATAGGATTAAAATAGCAAAGTCAAAATAGCAAAGTTATAGTAAAAAGAGAGGGACTACTCTGATAAAGGTACTTCAGGCAGATATGCTTTATTGCTTTCTACATTTTATTACGTTTATTCAAGGCATGAGCTATGTACTGCAAAACCAAAACCTAGAACAATAACCAAGTTTTGCAACTGAAATGGTAGCAAAGCAAAATGGCAGTATGGTTAAGAGGTCATTAAAAATGACTCACAACATTTTATCCTTTTCGTACCACATTTTACTACACAGAGTTTCAGATGAGATAATGCAATGAATAAAATTGTTTTACCCCCAGAGAGAGCGCTAAAAAATGTTCAACTGTCTACTGGAGTAATAATGGAGACTTTTTAAACTATAAGAAGGCAGCTTGATCTTTTGACTCTCTGTCATGAAATGTGAGTAATGAGACTTATTCAGAAATTCTAAGAATGAAATGATAAAATAAACTTCTTAAATATAGTTAAAAATACCCTAAGACTTAAATGCCTTAATCACCCTTGAAAATTTTACTAGAAATGCATCTTCTTAAATTCTTAAAGGTAGATACCCATTCTAATGCTCTTTGTCCTTTTGAAAAGTGAATTCTTACTTTATACCTACTGCCAGGTAGTGAATAAAGTTTATAATGTCTGAAGAAAATTTTTTTTAAAATAAATCCCAACTGAATATTAATGAACACATTAAAAGTATGAACTTCCTGTGTTTTTAAAATTTTATTTTAGGATTAATTTTATCATTAAATAGAATATTTTATATGCAATAAAAGAATATTTTGTAACAATAGTATTCAATACCAAAATGTTTTTACAAACAGTGGCTAAATATTAATTTTAACAACTTTTACAAAAGATTAATATTTATTCAAAATTAGGTTTTCAAAAATCTATTTAAGCTGTTATAAATATTGGTTAAAAGACCATGGTTGAGAAGTCACATTATTTAATCCATTGAAGGTGACAGCTGTGAATTACATAAATGTGTAGTTATGGACTTTTTATCATTTATTACTTACTTACCAATCTGTAATGGCTTTGAATAGTCCACTGTGTAAGCATATATTTGATAATTTCAAGTACTGTATTTTATTATTTGGTAGACTTTGTACCAAAGCATGATGAAAAAGGTGTTTTCTTAGTGCTATTCTAGGGCCATTGCAGGTATTCACAAGTGATTCTGAAACATATTATTTACTAGTGTGAGGTTTGAGAATTTGTATGTTTCCAAAGTATGCATTGCTCCCCCACTATAAACTCTATGGAGGTTTTCTCAGATATATTTTTCTAGGGAAAAAAAATCTTATTCCTATATTTTTCAACCTTACCTTTACCTTTGACCTTGCCCTAGACTGTCTTCTTGAAAAAAAAATATAGTCTTGACAGCAGCAATTACTTAATTGCCACCTCATTTCCTGTTTTTCCTGTAACTCTGATCTCTAAAAGATGTCTCCACCTGTACTACTGGCATCCTATTTCTCAGTTCACAGTTAGCTTCCACCTCCTAAAGTCTAGACTTTCACGTACTTCATAGCACTGAACTAATTACCACTATACTGTCTATCACCATATATCTCCTCAATTTCTGACTTTGTTTTATAAGACTAAATATTCTTTTCTCACAATTCGCCATTCTTCCTGTCTCATTCTTTTATTGTTTAACAGAGCCTGCATTCTCTAATTCATATTGTAAAAACTGTCCCAACTTACTGTTAACTCATTTACCTTAGTAACTGAGATTTGTTCATAAATGGAAAAAAATAGCTTTAGCAATTTATAAGTACACATAACACTACAGAAGTTTAAAAGTGTACATAACCTTGCAGATCGTCTATTGAGACTCTCGTTTAGTATATGTGGATTGATAAGGCAAGAAAACTCAAGTGACCTTGATCCTACTGATGATGAATGACAACACTAGGACTAAAATCTATGTCTTCTTCGTACTTCATTGTGTCTGCTGCAGTTATTTATTATCACATAATAAATATGTGCAAGTGGCATAGGATGTCACTAGAGAAGGAGATTCTGACCAGACCAAAAATGTGTCTTGCATATGCATTATTTTCATATACTACATTTTATGTGGCCTAAGATACATTTGATTGCTAAATACCCTATATGTGTGTGCTTATATATATATATAAAAATAGGGAGAAAGAGAGTGTGCAAAACTTACCCATATATAGCTGTAATAGTACAAATTAATATAGAATCTTGAAATAAATTGCATTGGCATTAGTAGTGCCATCTAACTTACCTTCCATTAATTTTTCTGTTAATTTTAATAGGTAACCACACGTAATTAATTGATAATCAAATTTTACATTGACATCTTGACAAAGTAATGTTGCTAGGCAGAAAACATAAACACATTGGTTTAAATTTGTGTTACTGCCTCGTATAAAATGATATAAAACAACAGTTACTAAAGGCAATGGAAAATCATGATTGCTGTGCTCAAGTAAAAGTTTTGGAATTTAAGAAGCACTTAGTTGGTGCATTAGGCCATTTAGGATGTTTCAACGTCTCAATTGACTGTAATTCCAATCTGCTCAAGTGCCCTGTTAATGACCTTCCATCTCCAAGTAAGCAGAGGAATTCAATGTTTATACTTTAAAAAAAAAAAAAATCTCTACCACAAACAGATTGAAGGACAGGTTCTTTTCATTCTATCTTCACTATGACAGGAGAGAGTAAATTGTTACCACTACATCAATTGAGAGAAGCTTACCTTTAGTGGCTCTTAATGAAAGCCCTCATTGACAAAACAAAATCAACACGTACAGGTATAAGGAAGCCACTTGAGTGTTTTCTATTTCTTATTGTCTAACAGTGAGTAATTATATTTGTAAAGTCTAAACAAGCAATGAAATTTACCCACACTTACACTTTAACTTTGGTGACATATAGCAAACAGATAGGTCTCTAGGCTTCCAGTAGAAACGTCACTCCAACATATAAATATTTTCAGATTTCCATGCAGAGACAAACAGTCCTAGTACTGGGGTTGCTGCTACAAAGAAGTTTCTTGTTCAATCCCATGCCTAAAATAATATTGGAACCCAAAATACACCAATATCTAGATGAATTGGTATCAAATTAAGAAAGCAGAAAAACACGTTTTATTTTATCTTAAAGTAGAGAAAAGAGGCAGCAGCTAAGCATTAAAATTTAATGTAAAAGGCCACTGTGTCTTGAGATGTTGAATTTAATATATAAACTATTAACAACAAACACAAGGCACCTGATATCATCTTTCTTTGTAAGCATAAAAAAGGCATTTTGTGGCCAGGCATGGTGGCTCACGCCTGTAATCCCAGCACTTTGGGAGGCCGAGGTGGGTGAATCATGTCAGGAGATTGAGACCAGCCTGGCCAACATGACGAAACCCCATCTCTACTAAAAATACCAAGATTTGCAGGGTGTGGTGGGGACTTGTAATCCCAGCTACTTGGGAGGTTGAGACAGGAGAATCGCTTGAACAGGGGAGGCGGAGGTTTCAGTGAGCTGAGATCTCTCCATTGCACTCCAGCCTGGGTGAGAGGAGCAAAACTCCATCTCAAAAAAAAAAAAACAAGAAAAAGAAAAAAATGGCATTTTGTATCTCCTAATATATTTATTCTCAGGTAATTTTTTGTTTCCAGCAGTGTGCAATATGATCCTTCTAACCTACAGAAAGAGTACTCCATCTTATTGTGTACAATGTAATTTTTATATTCAGAATATAAAAATATTGAAGCGAAATATCAGAATAATGACATTAATGTCTTGAACTATTTTTTTAAAAATCAAAGAAAATATATAAAACTATGTATTATTTCAGTTACAGTATTTTCCATGGACTTAAACTGACATAATGCAATTTTGTTATAGTATCAATAAATATTCCTTTGAGCAGAATTCAGATTTATTGTGATAGCAGCCATTCTCCCTGTATTTTAAAATAAATAAATAAATAAACTGAATTGCAAAAATACAAGGATTCCTTTAGGAATCCTTTCACATCAGAAGAGATTAAGTCAGACAGGTCTTTTCACTGCCTGCATTGTGTGTTTTCCTCTACACTACAAATAAAAGTAAATTTTTAAAAATGGTAGACAATGAAAAACATTGTCACAAGAAAGCTTTACACAAATTAACTCTAGCCGTATGAACAAAATAAAGTTTTTCAAGGCATCATGTCAAACAGTTGCCAAATTTTTACCTGATGAGGTGAGAGCAAGCTGATCTGTGTTGCTGGAGAGGGAGGATGAAGGATTGGGTAGGGAGGACACGCTGGGGAGAAGGAATAAAAGGAGCAAGTGGCATAGGATGTCACTAGGGAAGTAGGTTCGGACCAGACTAAAAAAAACTGCCTTGCATGTGAAGTTTCTGAGGCTTAGATCTTATCTTGTAAGTCACAGGGAGCCAGTGTTGGTTTTTCAAGCTGGAGAGTAATTCTTGGCTTTCATTCTTCAGTGTCTCATATTCCACCAGTAAATAGTAAGTGTCATGAAGAGAATGTCTCTAAAATTCACAGGTTTTAATGAATATTTTAGAAGTGGGTATTCTAATAGTTGTTGGAAGGATTTAAGTAGAACTGGAAGTAATCAAGGAAAGCAAAGGAAAGATATCTTAGTAGGAAAAATGACTTGTGCAAAATCTGATAGAAGTAGACACATGCATTTCAGCAGTAAGAATCAGAGGCGGGCTTGAGCACTCAGTGGTACTCTAAAACAGTGTTTAAGAGCACAAGCCTTAGAGTCATCTACTTGAGTTCAGATTTCAGTCCCAACACATGCTCTAGTTGAATAAACTTGAGCAAAGTGTCTCAATTACTTTGGCTGCTTTTTGTAAATGAAAAAGAAAGAAAGAGACAATGAGGAAAAGGGCAAGAAAAGAGCAGAAAAGAAAGGAAGGGTAGGAAAGGAAGGAGAGGGGAGGAGAGGCAAAGGGAGAAACTTACCGATGTGGGGTAACTGAAGGACTCAAATGGTACGTCTTGCAGCAATGGGCAGGAAGCTGGCAACTCTCATGGATTTGTAGTAAAAATAATATGCCATTAGTTTTAACCAATTGCCTTCTGTTCTACAATGATATTATTTCTAACTTTCATTTCTGTGACTGTATATAAAATTACCTCTATATATCACACATTTTACCCTAAAATACATAATAAATATGGAATTACTACATTATAAATACTGTACCATTTGAAACGTTTGATATACATTACCAAATTTAAATTTCAGAAAATCGTTGTCAAGTTACTCTTCCATCAGCAATATATGAGTGACCAATTTCTTACACTCTTCACAATACTCTGTATTATAATTTTCTTTCACATATTGTCTTTGACAACTTGATAGGTGTAAATGGTATGGCTTTTCTTTTTTGATTTACATTTTTTGGATAATGAGTGATTTGACTATTTTATGCTTATTAGTCATTTATCCTTTCTATTTTGTGCATGTCCTGTGTGCCTCCTGACATTTTTATTGGAGAATATGTTAATTTTATTAATATTTTATTAAGTATATAAAGGGAAAAGATCAAAGGGTGAAAGACCTATTTTTGGAAAACATCCACAGTCCTGAGTACACAATAAATCAGGACTCAAAGAGGTAAATGAGGAATGAGGACAGCATTGCATACGGAAACAACTGGAAATGTTTCCCAGCGGAGAGTATCCAAGGTTATGGACAGGAATAACAGGGAGAAAGTCTGTTGATTTATGATAATAATGATCATAAATGATCCCTGAGCATGAGTAAAGCCTACTGTTGATGTTTTCTTATGTTCTGAGTTTACTTTTGGCTCCACTGAGTTTGGCATTGTCCTCTGCCGCCCTATGCAGCTGGCACTACTAGGAAATTATGAACTTGACAGAAAGATGCCAGTAAATTTCTGCAGAGTAAGAGATGCAGTCTTGCGCCCAGCCAGGAAAAAAATTTCCTGGCATTCAGAGACCCTCAGCATGTGTTTCATGAGGCCTTCAAGTTGTCCCCTTTACCTTCCTCATGGGACTTTGTTACCTTCCTGACTTTCCCAGGTGTATAGCCTCTGCCTATACATCAGGTGGAAGAAACCAGTAGCAATTACTGCTTCTCCTTAATTATTCCTGTAACACTAGGAAAACTCATTTTTTAATTCACAGCAGTAGGCCCAGAACCTACATCTTCTCAGACTTTCTTTAAATTTTATTTCACCATAATTTATGACATTTACTGAACCATTTAAAAAATAATAATATGGTTGGGCGCGGGGGCTCACATCTGTAATCTCAGCACTTTGGGAGGCCAAGGTGGGCGAATCACGAGGTCAGGAGATCGAGACCATCCTGGCTAACATGGTGAGACCCCGTCTCTACTGAAAACACAAAAAAATTAGCAGGGCGTGGTGGCAGGCGCCTGTAGTCCCAGCTACTCGGGAGCCACCATGCCCGGCCCTATGCTCATTTCTTTATTTATGTATTTTCTTGTCTTCTCTCTCTTTTCTTCTCCCTTTATCTTTTTCTCACATCTTTGTTTCACTTTTTAAAAAATTCCAACTTTCATTTTAGATTCAGGAGGTACATGTGCGGGTTTGTTACATGGGTATATTGCATGATGCTGAGGTTTGGGGTACCATTGATCCTGTCACCCAGGTAGTCAGCATAGTGCCCAATAGGTAGCTTTTCAACCCTTGCCACCTCCCTCCATGTCCCGCTAGTCCCCAGTGCCTGTTGTTTTTTATGTCCATGTGTATTCAAAGTTTAGCTTCCACTTATAAATCTCACATGTTTTTTAATGCCCATACTAAAAGAGTTACTAGGTATCTCATGTACACACAAGCACACACAAAAAAGCCATGCTTTTCACAATATACAAAAACAGCTTTAAAAGGTTTTAAATCTGTCAGTGGTAATTGTTTGTGACAATAAAACTGTGGACTTTTTCTAGCTATAGCTCCCATCCTGCAGGTCCACTGATCCTTAGAAGACAGAATGCAAGAGAAAGGATTCTCTCATTCATGTATTCCCTTCTTGGTCACATATGTCAGAAATATTCATATCTCAAATGGCAAACATGCTGTTCTTCTCACCAGCTGAATATTTTCTTATTCCCTATTTCCTCATTCCACTCCATTTCTGAAACAGAGAATTGGCATTATGCAGAAGAGAAAGTATGTGCCCAAGCTCCATCCAAATCCAGTTTTGCTGCTTAATAGTTCTCTGACCCTGGAGAAGTTAACTAAACTCTCTTGGCCTCAATTTCTTTAGCTATAAAGTGGATTTTTTAAAAAGCTACTTTACAGTTCATTTGGAAGAAACATGAATTGCTTAACAACCATCAGTTCCCTACCGCCTACAAATCTAGGAATTATCTATTATAGCTGAAAATTCAAATAGCATGAGCCTAAATATGGCAGTATACCAAATTGTATCATAATGCAAAGATAATTTTGAATCAGTCTAATTTCTTAGGATTGTGATATATTCCTTCCATATTTTAATTTGTAATGTACATTCCTCTTCAATTCTTAATGGTTTTATTTTTATTGTTTAAATTACAGGGTCTCACTCTCACTCAGGCTGGAGTGCAATGGCGTGATCATGGCTCACTCCAGCCTTGACCGCTTGGGTTCAAGAGATCCTCCCACCTCAGCCTCCTGAATAGCTGGGACTACAGGTACATCCCACCATGCCTGGCTAATTTTTAAAAAAATTTTTCTAGAGATGGAGTCTCACTATGTTGCCTAGGCTGGTCTTGAATGCTTGGCCTCAAGTGATCTTCTGACCTCAGCTTCCCAAAGTGTTGAGATTGCAGGTGTGAGGCACCAAGCCTGGCCTCTTAATAGTTTTAAAATAATTTTCAAATGTCCCTTATTGTCATACTCTATAATACTTACGTATATGAAGTTTTTGAAGAGTATTTTGCTCTTCAAGCAGAAATCTCTGATATTTGAGCTTGAAAAAGTTAGTAAAATCTGTCAACTATGCTGTTAGGCACAGTAGCAAGATTTATATCTACTTATGCAATACTCCCATGCCATGAAAAAGAAGCTTTAGTCTTTCAAACTACAGTACTATGTCAATTAAAAATATATTGATGATGAATATGGATAAGTTAATTCACTCATAATTTACTTAGGTCCTAAAACTAATTACAGATTATAGATAACTACAGGTAAATTGATCATGAAACCAAGTCATGTGGGTGGTCTACAGAGTAATCTCACAGTTCAAATCTGTGTGCTGTCCTAAGAGCATGAAGCTAAACAGAAGCAATATTGGTTCATTGTACAGAGATATAGAGTCTGTTCTCTGGGCTTATTTTGCTCCTTTCTAAGATCACCTTTTATAAGGCAGATAGAAAGATTAGGGTGAGAAGGGATGGTGGGGGCTCGACTACATGGTAAGATTGAATTCAAATTTGTTCTTCAAAACATCCTGTCACTTTAAGTTTGAAAGTAAGGCAGAGAGTTAGAAGTCCAAGGTAACCCTGACGTTGTGTTCAGAAAGAACCACCTGGAAGAGAGACTCCTTATACACTTAAGATGGATTAGAGTCTTATCCAAGCAAAAGTAACAAAGGAGGCATAATAACAATAAGTCTCAAAACTGCAAACTGCATTTTTCTGATCTTTGCAAGCATATCAAGAGACTTTGTTTTATGCTGTGTGAAATCAGCTCAAGGGCAGGACTGAATATAAGTTCATAGTTCGCAATCATCTATCTCCTCCTCATGAATACATGTTATTTTATAAAAGGAAAACTGAATATATCTTTTTGGTATATTTTATTAACATTGTATAAAGTGACAAAAGCTAGGTTTGTTTTGTTTTAACTTTGATCATCTTTGAGGTAGGATCTTCCATTACTTTTCATTCACTAAAGTAACATTTTTTCTACTCTATTTTTTATTTTTATTTTAACTTCTATTTTAGGTTCAGGGGTACACGTGCAGGTTTATTATATAGGTGAACTCATGTAACAGAGGTTTGATGAATAGATTATTTCATCACCCAGGTACTAAGCTCTAGTACCCAACAGTTATTTCTGCTCCCTTCATCCTCCCACTCTCCACCCTCTGGTAGGACCCAGTGTCTGCTGTTCCCTTCTTTCTGTCCATGAATTCTCATCATTTAGCTCCCACTTATAAGTGAGAACATATGGTATTTCATTTTTTGTTTTCGAATTAGTTTGCTAAAGATAACGACCTCCAACTCCATCCATGTTCCCACAAAAGACATAATCTCATTCTTTTTTATGGCTGAATGATATTCCACAGTGTATTTATGCTACATTATTTTAATCCAGTCTCTCATGGATGCGCATTTAAGTAGATTCCATCCATGTCTTTGTTACTGCGAACAGTGCTACAATGAACATACATGTACATGTGTCTTTATGGTAGAATGATTTACATTCCTTTTGATATATACCCAGTAATGAGATTGGTGGGTCGAATGGCAGTTCTGTTTTTAGCTCTTTGAAGAATCACCACACTCTTTTCCACAATGTTTGAACTAACCAAAAATGGTTGAAATGAGCCAACAACAGTGAATACACATTCCCTTTTCTCTGCAACTTTGCCAGCATGTTATGGTTTGACTTTGTAATAGCCATTCTGACTGGTATGAGATGGTATCTCATTGTGGTTTTGATTTGCATTTCTCTAATGATCAATGATGTTCAGCTCTTTTTAATATGATTGTTGACTGCATGTATGTCTTCTTTTGAAAAGTATCTGTTCATGTTCTTTGCCTACTTTTGAATGGGGTTGTTTGCTTTTATTCTTGTAAATTTTTTAAGTTCCTTGTAGATGATGGATAGTAGAACTTTGTCAGTTGCATAGTTTGCAAATATAATATTTTCTCCCATTCTGTAGGTTGTCTGTTTACTCTGTTAATAGTTTCTTTTGCTGTGCATAGCTCTTTAGATCAATTGGATCTCATTTGTCAATTTTTGTTTTTGTTGCGATTGCTTTTGGCATCCTTATCATGAAATATTCGCCCATACTTATATACAGAATGGTATCGCCTAGGTTGTCTTCTAGGATTTTTATAGATATTGGTTGTGTTTTA